CGCTGGGCGAGGGCGCTGCGCCTGCGCAGAAAGCGGCGTTAGATGAAGCGTCTGGGCATGCGTATAGTCGAGTTGGTATATAGAACGCAGCCTCCTGCAGGAGGTTCCAGGGTGGGGGCCGATGTTTCGTTAAGTATATCGGCCGGCACCCTGAGGCCTTACAGAAATATTAAAGTTAAAAAAAAATAAGCTTCTTTAAAGGGCTTAACTTTTATTTTTTTATTTTTTTTGTAAATTTTTCAACTAATTTTTTTTAGCAATATTTACGCCGTTAGCCGCAAATACGTTGGAGGTCACGGCACGCTCTAAGCCCCGCCCACGGATCAGTGGCCCCGCCAAATACTACTGGATTGGCTTGGCTGCTCGGCTGAACATGCTAAGAAAGTCTAGTGTCTCCCTTTCGCGACATCCGCTGCGTCTATAATTTGGGCACCGCTTGCCAGTCGTGCAAGCAGACGCGCGGCAGCCACTGGCATCGTCTGCTATTTCACCACCGTCTATTGTCGTCTGCAGTGCCTGTGAGACGCGGACACAAAAGCTGCGCGTCGGCGTCCGTTTTTGACTCCGTCCACCTGCTATTTCGCCCCTTCGTCTTAAAAACTTTTGCATAACTTGCAAGGCGCAACCATGAAAGCGGCCTTCTAGCGTTCCATCATGCGCGAGCCACGGTCCAATAGTCCTGTAGCTCTGAAGTTTTGAGCAGCGCCCATCCCGAACAATTTCGAATATTTCTAGGGCGCGATTCGATTGTGCGGTCTTACGCACCCTCGCGTTGCTGAAAGGCGATTTGAAAAAGCCAACACGAACAATACAGCTCAATGGAATGCATTCTAAGCGTTTCGATAGGACGTTAGATCACTAACTGTAAAGTTTTTTTTGTTTTTTTTTTTACGCACATGAACAGATTGTTTTGACAGACGCTACTTTCAAATGTGGCTCGTGCTCGATCGAACGCCACAACGCCGCCTTTATGGTCGAGTCTTGCAGGCGCCAAAGCTGACATTACATGATCACGCTTTGTGGACGCACTCGAGCCCCCTGGCCGAGTGCAACAGGCCCATACAAGCGTTTATAAGTATCTGTCGACGTCCGGCAAAAAGCGACCGAAAGGACTAAAAAAAAAATCAACAAAATAAATATGCAGTCCTTTCAGCTTCTTTCTTTTTTTTTTTTCGCATGGCATTCGCGAGCAAGGTGGGTGAACGTCATATGACGTACAACTAAAACGGGACCTAAAAATATTCGCATTGGCAGCCCAGGTGCACTGCAGAACGAAGAGCTACTTTCCTTTCGAAGCAAAATGACGGGAACAAACCTGGACAAACTTGATGCAAGCCGAACACTCGACTACCTCCATCCAAATAGCTCGCAAATTCTTACCTGTGTAGGTATCTTTTCGGTATTGAAACTATGATTGCAATCACAACGGTCGCACAATTCACAGAGCAGCGGGCCGCGTTTACGGGAACGAATATCTTTATTCAGCATCAACACGCTCAAAGGAACAAATCAAGCCAGATCAAACCAATATAGTTAAAGCGGTACGCTAGGTTTCGACCAGTCCCTCTACCGCCCGCTCATTGGCTGGTGAGATAATTGACGTGTAAAGTGTGCTACCGCACACTTCACACGTCAATTATGTCACCAGTCAATGAGAGATGTAAGCACCTTGTAAGCACGGGGCGTGGCTTAGCGGGCTGCGACCTCAACATTCTGCAGCTAAATCTCGTCTAGGCAAATATTGCTCCAAAAATATTTTTTTAGTAGAAAAAAAAAAAAAAATTAAACCCATTAAAAAGCACTTTTTTTTCGGTTCAGTGTTTCTTTAAGGAGACTTTTTTCATAGCTTACTACCAGCCTCTATCCTCTTAGTGTTTTGTACAGAAACGTAACAGATAGATGAAACCAAAGTATGCCTTTGGAGCACAAATAAGATTGCTCGTCGACTCAGCGACGCGCGACGTGTGCGATTTGTATGAACTGCAACTCAGTGTCGTGGTGGCGTCTCACAAGCGCAAGGAACGCTCGTTGTTTTTCGCAGGCAAAAGTAAAATCAGTAATTTCAAGACCCGAGCAAGATCCGATAACACCGCTTCCCCCCCCCCCCCCCTTCCCACACACACACACACACACTTTTTTTTTCGTTGCCGGTTGGCGACGCTTAAGCGTGAAAACGGTTGCCGTCGGGGTGTATTCGACGCCTCTGCGAGCAGTCCCGTTCGTTTGTCGCTTCAGGGGGGGAACGGGGGGGACCTTCTTTCGGCAGTTATTTTTCGAGTATACCGTCTTGGCTGAAGAAGATGAAGTGCAAGGAGGAACTTGAGTCGCACGGTTTCTTTATTTGGAGTCAGTAAGGTCTTCCCATGCAACCCTCACGTGCGAAAGTGTGGATCCCATTCTCTTCCATGTGCTCTCTCTTCCCAAACGACCCAATGTCGAACAGCAGCTCGATGCCGGAATCTTCAACTACTTCAACTCCCCTAACCAAATTGACGCTTAAGACTTCGACGAAAAATCACTAATTTCTCTCCAGCTGGACTGCATAAGTCAAATTTCTTTAGAATTATCCGACACCTACACCAGTCTTCACGAAGGGAGAGTTTAACACAACATAAACGATGCCAAGCTTCTTCACGGGTTGAAGACTCGTATTTGCGTACCAAACTGGAAAGCGGCCCTGACCTAAATTCATAGGACGACCGCCGTATCCCAAAGAAAATACTCCCGTGTTGCCTTCTATTTGCTCGTGTGGCCTTTTGTCTAAACCTGTGCAGTAAGCAAGTCATCATCTCGCCAACGAGTTCAAACTCGTATTCCTTTTGTTTTTGTTTCGACTTCATAAACATAAAAAAAAAAGTCGAGTGAACACGGACGCGTGACTGGTGGTGTTCCGCCGGTAAGAGGGCACGCGAACTCCAGTTGAAGTAGGTTCAAGTGAGGCTGGCGAGCACGCACGTGGGGGCTTCAAAGCGGTGACAGAAGCTCCGGCGGCGAGTTAATGAGCAAGGAATAGCGTCCCTGCATGCTGTGGTCCGTTTGCTCTACATTACTCATTAGTCAGAGTGTACTTATAATGCTCAGGCTTACATATATAGCTAATCACAAAAAAAAAGTCCCATACGTTAAGGCACGTTCAACGTTTTTACAATGTGCACATTTGTTTCGCCCCTTAGGCGAGCGGCGATGTTTACTGCTGTAGGAAATGGCGGTGCTATTAATTTGGCAGTAATAACACGTCCAGCGAGAATGAATCATAATTTATCCCCATCGACCAACGTTCATAAACGGGTGGCACGTATGTCTGCGCCATGGTAGGTTAGGTGCCCAGGTTAGTTATCTGGTTGGGGCAGTATTAAAATCAAAGAGTGTTTGGCAGCTTTATGAGAGGTTTACAGAGAAAGATATGGCAAGCAGGGTTTTTATTAGTTTGCGTCGCTTTGATCCGATCGTTTTTATTGGGATGTCTTTATAAAAATAATGTGGTAAGAACAGTATCTTGGTGTCACCCTTCCTTTGGTAATGCTAATCTAGAATTACTAAATATTATCACGAAGCTTTGCTCGCGCAAGTGTTTAGTCTAGCTTTACTTTATGTTTTTACCTTCTCCAAAAGTTTGTTCGTCTCCACGGCACGGCTCATGGCTTCTACCGAAGTCGAAAGGCCCCCAATGGGGGCGAACGGGAAGGCTGTAACGGTGCACTCAGTTTATAGAACCCCAGGTCGGAGATGTTTTGTCTTGTGCATGTGTGCTTTTGGGATCTCCACTTCGGAGGTGGTTTTGCTGCGTGTATAACATCTCTGTCTACGAATTTAATTTGTATTGGTCATGGCTGCGCTTGTGAGCATCGTTCGGAATGTGTTCTGTCATGTGTATGCGCTTGTTTTGGGGATGTCCTATTTGCTTTGGGCTCCGAGCCTTTTGATTAGCCTGAAGGAAACCTTCAGTGATTGGTAGCCAAAGTGACTCCAGAACATAGGCGTAGACTACGGGGGGGGGCATCGAGGCTCGTGCCCCCCCACCCCACCCCCCGGGCCCGGGCCATGATCCTTACCGAGACGCTGTTTACGTGCCATGAAACTAGCTTCTAGTAACGGCATGTAAACAAAATAACGCCTACATTGCCTTTATTGACAAAGCATATGGGAAATTGAATCCCAGCGTGCTTTCGGTAGCTTCAATCTCCAGTTCTGACGAGAAGGTAACGCACAGCACCCTCCTCCCGGGAAGATGGAAAGTCTACGCCGCTGCTCCAGAATGCTGCTAAACTCAACATAAGCAGCCGCGAAAGGCCTGCAAAGGTCTTGACTCCTAGATACCAAGCCCTGAACATCACCCTGCCTCTGGAGGCCAACCTGCACGTGCGATCCCCTTCAACTGTGCAGTCTTCCGCCCGCTAACTCGCGAACTTGGGACGCCTTACGGCTGTGGGGGAGTTTGGCTCGCCTGCCTTTGTGTGGATCCTTGTTTGTCGAGATTGGCTGTGTTCGGGACACCTGCTGGAGGTGTGATCGACGAGGACGGCATGCTAGGTCGCCAGAGGTTAGGAGTAGTACCCAAAAAAACTTAATCTCAAATTATATAATGTGCCAAGTGACGTAAAAGTGTTGTTAATTAAATATCAGGACCTCCATTACCGGAGAAAATTGCCTATTTTCTTCGTGACGGTATAACTAAAAATAAATCTGCAATGTGACACTGAACCTGGCGTTTCACGAGCTCACGCCCTGCTCGGTCTCACATTGAAGATGTCATTTTGAAGTAGAACCCATTCATTCTGCACCACGTTATTTGCCGAGATCGACTAGAAACCACCCATTATTTACTCTCCAAGCGCTCTGCGGAAAATGAGAAAAGTGGGCGCCAGGGCCTGTCGAGGCCTACAGGGACTAACCAGTCATGCGTGCGTCAAACAAGACTGAACTCGGGCACTGGCTCCGGAATTCAACCCTCAATATAAACGCACTCGCGTAGCAACAAAAGAACGTGAAACGCCACATACCTGTGTAGGCTGTCTCGGCCAGCCTGGACGACCATGGAGGCCACCAGTGCACGAGCGGGCGACCATCAGCGGAAAAACAAAACCAAAAAAACAAAGAAACACGTGGACGAAGCAGCGAGCTCGACGCCTTTCTTCATTTCTTTCGGGGTGTCTCGGACAGTCAGACAGATGGATTGTTTCTGCTGGTTCCGGGCACAAGCTTGGCCTGCGCTCGGAACACGTTGAGGGGGGAGCGTGGCGGGAGCGTCATCACAGTCAGGGCCACATCGGGTTCGAGCAAGCCGCACGGCTTCTGTACAACAGTGCCCCAGCGAGGCACTCGCGGAGCACGCCATCTTGTCGGGGAGGGAGGTCTTTAGCAATGAGTCATTCAAGTGTCCCAATATGGCGGACGCTCGGCAGACACGAGGGGAGGCTTGGTCGCGTCGTCGGCGCCTGCAAACAAAGGGAGCATGAGTTTGATTAGGATTATACTGATGAAGGTTACTCATCAACAAAACAAAACAACAAAAAATATTTTTGGACCGAGGGCTAAAACACACCCTTTCATAGACAGCTCATGCAAAGTTTTCTTTTCGTGAACAAGGTTTCAGAGGTTACATGAGCCTGAAAAAAATATCTTGCTGTCTCAAGTAACACGTGCAAATAAATACGAACCGTAAACTTCACTGCATTGGTTTTGGTGGAATCGGTGGACCTTTATTAAGTTCACCTTTGACTACGACTGGAGGTAAAAGCTAAAAGTCAGCACCAATCACCTGCCTCTAATGCTTCACCTTGCTCCTCTTGCTAAGTCCCGCGGCCAAGCGGACAGAAGTCACGTGAGAGCTAGAGGCATGGGTTAGCGCTAACGTCTCCATCGCGAACTACCACGAAATACTAAACTAAAAAGTGCAAACAAAAAAGAAAAAAAAGAGAAAAGGGCAGTGAACATATTACAGCACCGTGGTGTGTTTGTCTTATCTTAGTCAGTATTCTTCGCACTATTTGCATTTTTGTCGCAGAAAGGTGCAAGGCTGCAAGCCGAATATGTGCTCAGTGTGATCCTTCTTCAAAGTGCGGCTCTTTAAAATAAAGCGGCGTAAAGTACTTTCGGAACACTTAGAAAGAAATTGCACAAGCATTATCCGCCTTTGTCTCAGGTAAATAACGTACCCCGGAAGCCTCAATAAACTGCTACAGAATATACAATTTACTACTAATAAAACCAGATTAAGCTCAAGAACGTCCCTCATTCTACTCGCAGCCTATAGTGCATGCGCAGGAACTATCAGTAAAATGCCAAAATGAGTCTGAGATTTTTTTAAATGCCCAGCTGAGCGAAACGGCACATAAGTTCCCATTGACTGCAAAGCGGACGTGCCTCTGAAAGAAAACACAAAGAAAAGCAGAGCCACGCAGATGCTTCGTCACGGAAGCCGTTGTGAAGCCGGCGAGGTTCACCGCGCCTGCGCAGTGGGGGAGCGTGATGTCACCACCGCCGGTGCGCCGCGTGAAAAAGGAAGACATGGCGCGCTGCTTGTAGGAATGCGCTGGCTGTAGGAATGCTTTCCCATTCTTACACGTAAGCAGTCTTAAGTGTCTATGTCGAATGTTTTCGTATGACCAATGTGACCATCAGACAAGGAAGAAATAATATCTGCACACTGTCTGTTTCTCTGAGCAGGTGGCTTTTTTAAGCCACCTGCTCGGCACTCAGTGAAGCAGTGGAGATGCTTGGGGTGCATTTTAACGTACCATCCCAGACAACAAAGCTCTCACACGTACTATCAGAATTGCCGTTTCCTCTCGGGTGAAACATTGTGAATTGCCATTCACAATGTGCAATTCACAATGTAGCACAGGGTAGAACATTGTGAATTGCGATTCACAATGGGCAATTTACAGTGTAGCACTAAATAGAACATTGTGAATTGTCATTCACAATGTTCTACCCAGTGCACGCTCACTGCAACAACTAGAAAACGTAATACATGTCTTTTAGATGTACGCACAATTCAAAAGTGCAGTAAAAGCTGGCTGGGGTACTTGAGAATCAAGCGAGGATAAATCTCGGGAGGTTATAGCCCACATTTTGTTAAGAGACGGATGTCGCTTCCGGGTCTAAAGTTCTGTCTCCCGCCCTAAAGTTCATCCAGTGCTGTTTTTCTCAGGTAGATGCACGTACCCGTGCAGGCAATCGATCGATACCGAGGCGTGTCCGTGTTTCAGACGTGAAAAGCGGTGATGTGTGGAAATGGGAAACAGTAATAGTCACGCGACCAAACAAGCTGGACATTTGGTGATGTTAATTAATGCCGCTTTGCAAGAGTTTGGTAGACTTCTAAAAATATTGTGCGCCATTTGTTGAGGATGGGAGCGTAGGGCGCTGTGCACTACTGCTTTACGTCGTCTCCTCCACCGAGGGGCTGCATATTACAATCGGCGCGCCTTCGAACTAGCCCAAACGTAATAAAACAATTGTGAGCATCGCGGCTGAGTAGGCATCCCAGTAGAAGGTAGACTTTGCCCGGGGTCACCATGTTAAGCTACTTAACGTTTTTATCATGTTAAGAAACGCCAAATGAAGTACTAGCGAAGAGCGGATGGAAATGGGTAAGTACGCAGGAACCCCCCCCCCCCCCCCCCCCCAAAGCAAGAAAAAAAAAAAGAAGTATTTTAGGACGAAGACTGACGAGCGTGTTGGGACAGATGTAACAGTAAGAAAGCACAAAACAAACAGAGGGACAAAAACAGACATGTACATGTCTGTTTTTGTCCCTCTGTTTGTTTTGTGCTTTCTTACTGTGTGCTTTCTTACTGTTACAAGTATTTTAGCTAGAACAAAAGTACTTAGAGCGAACGCATTTCCAAGGTACGACTAGCTATTTCTTTTGAAATGTGCTTAGATACAAATACATTTACTAAATAGGTACTTTCTTAACCCCACGCATCTATAAATATTATGGGTTAAAAAAATAAAACAATATTATGCGGCCGATGTCCTAGCAGCATCTTATTTAGAAAACAAAATGGCAGGAAGCCCTGTGATACGTTCCTTATTCAACTCGTTTAAGTAACATAAACGCGTATAAATAATACGAACCTTTTTAATTCGATCGCAAAACGTTTAGCTTCTGGAAACCTGTTTGTCAGTCCTACAGATGGCACCTGATACAATACAATCCGAGAGTATCATTTTTTTTTTATTTTTTTTTTTTTTTGTAGATCGTCCTCTTTGATGTCAGTCCTCAGCCCCTCTGCTAGGTCCGTTCACCTTATCGCAACATGCATACAAACACCCTTGTCCAAGATAAGTAAGACCGACACCATTTTGATCTTCTTTCTCTATCATAATGGGAGGAGAGGTTTATATTAGGAAATGTCTGATCTTCAGTATCCTTCTGCCGATCTAATAATTGTAATGTAGAAAACCCGAGACTGTGGTAAAAGCAAGGAAACGGAGTCGAAGAAGAAAGACAGGGGAAAACCCCTGTCTTTCTTCTTCGACTCCGTTTCCTTGCTTTTACCACAGTCTCGGGTTTTCTACATTATGATCAACATCCACCAGCTCGCCTGCGCACTCACAGCTTTTTCACTAATAATTGTACTTGAGATACGACTACAGTTACCCGGCAGTAAATGTACCTAGGGAGGTACTTAGGTACACTTAAAATACTTAGTTCCTCATTTAGAGTCACTTATACCTACGTAGTTTATAACTTTTGGCACTACTCATTACATCTGGAAACGAAACACATAGACTCGCAGGACGACGGTGGCAGTAAATCCACACGTCGCACTTACACCGCTGCAAATGCGCGTTGCCGCGGCAACCATGCACACTCATGTCGGCGAAATGTCTGCGCAAACACCGCTTCCAACGTTGTGCGCGGAAACACGAAGGCACAGACATTCGTAATAAGAGCAGAACGAGCCTAGTCGGAAAAAACGAAGCGCCTTGTTTGTCGAAGGCACGGATGGGTTAATTAAATTGCCCATGGACCAACACGTGATACACACGGTAAGCTTGACCTGTTTGCTTCTTCGGCTCGTTCAGTGTTCAGCTTCGACCTAGGTGCTTCTCGCTCGTTAGGAGGCCCCGAGGCCTCGGCCAAGAGACGGCCAGCCACTCGGATCCATCCGTCTTCGCCGAAACAAGCACTCCGAATGTTCTTCGTTGGAAAAAGACAAAAAGCAAACAAACAAAAACATTATCTGAGCCATTAGACTTAATTCTCGATGACTGAGAAGATCCCGCCATTACGACTAATTGATCCAGTTTCGTTCTGGCTCCTTACCCGAATATTCCCTATTCCCTTTCAATGCGCTGCTGCTGTTGCGCCATGGCCGGCGCGATTTTCCTTTCGCCGTTGGTTGAGGCGAATCTCTCAAGGAAGGATGAAGGTTTTTGCTCTTCTTCTTGAACACCGTCACACGTGTCTCCGACGTCCTTCCAAGTTTGTACGTTTGCTCATTAGGTAGGACCTCGTTCGAAGAAAGTAATGCGATAACCTCATTAGCCGAATCAGGTGTTTCAGCGGGAATGTTTGGACTCTTCGTCTCTTTTCACTGTCGTGGCGGAACTTTTCCGCGCGAAAGCGGACGAATATGAAACGAAGGAATAGTTCATGTGGTTAAAGTGCGGATAGGTATGGCAAGCATTTGATCCCAAGCAAGCGAGCCAGACGGTTATAGATCAAAGCAAACCGATGAAATTGGTATTCTTCTTAAAGTTTAGGTAATGTTATGCTTTGCTTCGCATGGTTGCTTACTAATTTGCGCTTCCTACTTTGCCTCGCCGAGCTAAAGAAGCCGCGCTTTTCATAGGGACGCTACAGATTGCCGTGCGATGATTTCCGCAGAATACGAGCGTGGGAGCATCATATGCAAGGGAAAAACATTTTATGGTTATGAACAGGGAACAGTTCAGCGGGAATGCGTTACTAAAGCGCGTTCAAAACCATATTTTAAGGTATCAAAAAGCACCTGGACATCCGTAAAACTATTGGGTCGCAATAACCACAATTTTTATGACACAATTCCCTATTTTCTGGCGCTTTGGTGGACAAAAGATTCGCCGTGCTGCTCTTGGAGGAAGACCTGGCGTCGTCAACAGAGTTGCACATCTTATAATTGAAAATATGCGCGAGCTAATTAAAAAAAAAAAAGTGAAAGCAAGAAACAGAAATGTCTTCGAAGAATAAGAACTAAAGCTTCCCGCTGCATGACTTCAAAATATTTCGGCCTTGATTTATATAACATCGGCATCGTTATATACCAATTTTCTGACAGTTTTAAAGACAGATTTACGATCGTTATGCAAACATTAGAAGGTCGCTCGTGGAAAAAGAAAAACAAAAACAAATTTAACAACAACAAGAACAACACCAAGAATGTGTATGACGTTCTTCCTAATACTTTTGAGCTTACTTCTCTGACAAGCAGTCGATTTG